CCATAAGCCCAATTTTAATGAACAGAGAGTAGCTTTGTGGTCAAAATAGATTTAGGTTCACCTGAACGCATGAAGGACAGGCCGACGTCGACGAAAATGCTGGAACTCGGCACTGCAGCGCATTCGTCCCCATCCATCTTCCTTTTTTCTTCATGCGACCACCAGCAATAGTCATGGTACGCATGCAAGTAAAAGCCATTCCTTTGCACAAACCCTATGAGCTTTCAGTATGGAACAGCTGACACGTTTAGTCAGTCAAAAACGTTGGTAAAACAGTCATAAGTAGAGGGATTTGTACAAGCAGTTTAGATCAGTTCAGCACACTATTTCCACTTCTGTGCTGTTACTCGACAGTTCGACCGTCGTTTCCGACGATGTCCACCGTTTGCCACACACCTAGGTGCAACATGCACGGTGACTTGCGCGTGCATTAGGTTATAATGATAGTAGACTTGCGCGGAATTTACCGCACTCTCTCTTCCCCACTCCCCATCTGGACCCGGTGCTAAGACAGAGTCTAGAAGACCGGAGGCGGAGGAGGGCGCAGGTGGCTGGCACGGCCAGACCCGCACCTAGGCGTGACACCACACCCTCTGATCCACAACTTACACTTGATCAGGATTTTCCACCCACAATAACAATACCCCAATAGGGGTCAGAAGGACGAGAACCAGGTGTCAGGGAACTGCCAGCACATACCATACTGCGAGGGCCATGGTTTGATGATACTGGCATAGCGCACACTTTCAGACCTTTTGACCCAGAAGGGCGACAAGTGGTTCTGCATTTAGTCTGGGGCGTCACCCTTCAAGGTTGAATAACCAAACTGTCGTCGACTGAGATGCACTACCCATAAAGCACACACACACACACACACACACACACACACACACGCACACACAAACACTCTCCTCAAATGCATGCAAGTCGGACACGGCGGAAAATGGACCAAAATGGTCATTCCATTCTCCCCTGCCTACTTTGGTAACAAATCCCGATTACTGATTGATCGCCCCCGGGGGCCTTCGATCCAACCTCCCCAGCCAAGTTGAGTGGACTTTACCTTACAACTGCCGACTTAGGGAACTTAAACTTTTTCCTCTTGAGTACAGGCAGGTTCGAGGAGATCTCATACAGGCCTATCGGATATTGAGGAACCGGGAATGTGCCCTAAACCCCGACGATTTCTTCACCCTGGCAACAACAACAAACCTGCGTGGGAAATCTCTAAAACTTAGAGGATCCCGATGCCGCCTGGACGTTCGCAAATAGTGTTTTTCACAGCGAGTCGTCGGTGCCTGGAACGGGCTTCCCGAGGACGTAAAAATGGCGGATACCACGGAGACGTTCAAGCAAAGACTCGATGCATATTTGCTTGGACACTATCGCTTGTCTGAACAGAACAGCTCTGTGGTGCTAAACCAACGCCTTGCATACTCATACCGCCAATGCGGATGACTGTCATTACATTTTACTGAAGTCATCTACAACTGAATGTTCTCAAGTTTTGGTTCTACATTTTCACGGAAAATATTCTGTTAAATGTGTATATTACTGACAACATTTCAGTACCAGGTTTGTTTATAGTGAGATATTGCATGTACCGTTTACAATAGGGTTTTCAAAGGCATTGCCTATTACTCTTAAAATATACTGACCTATACTGACCTGTAATCAGGTCGGGGCTAGATCGCAGTTGGAAACCAGGTCCCATATTACAGATGGCTGGTGGGGTTTGTTTACTGGGGATATTTTGTGGGACTCCATAATCACATCAATCCCATTTGGCTTCCGTTTTAGGTTTGAGGTTAGGATTAGGGTACCGGTTAATGGTTTCCGATTTTCGGGTTAGGGTTATGTCTTTAGGCTTAGGTTTTCGGGTAACGGTTAGGGTTTGAGCGTTCGAATAGGCTTCAGTATTACGGTTAGGTTTCTCATTTGCGGCTGTGTCTAAGGGCTACAGTTAGGTTTACGATTCCGGTTAGGACTAGGGTTAGGGTTGCCGTTAGGGTTAACGGTTAACGTTGAGGTTAGGGTTAGGTTTCAGGTTAGGATTGGGGTTAAGGTCGCCGTCCGTTTCCCCATTTCTGGCTACCAACTGCGATCTAGCCCAGGTCGGTTAAGCAGCGCCACCCCCAAGCAACGCTGACCCAAATTTGCTAAAACGTGACGGTAATGCTTTCCCACAGGTGAGTCTCACCGGTTCTTCATTTCGTGAGAATTTTCCGTGCACAGAAATCCCAATGACCAATCCCAGCGTTAGGTTCATAGGAATGCTCCACGCACAAATAAAAAGATTTTGGCATCCGGGTAAATGCACTGGTGACTTTGGCCGGGTTTTGCTAGTGATTTTATTAACCAGTATACGGTAGTGAGCACTGTGCAGTTTTCTCCCATCAATAAAATGTTAACGAAATGGCGCTACACTCTGTTTGAAGTTTTCTGGGCCTCCATGCTCGTTCACCATGCTCTGCACACGATCCTCTAACGACTGGCGTCAAGTTGAGTAGGTGAAATCTGTGCTAAGGGTAGAGAGAGCAGGGTTGTCCCGGAATCTGCCTCTTGGTTCGCCTATCAAGAGAGCAGATATACTCAGAGCCAAAAGATCATCCACCTAACAGAGACACGATCTCACCTCAACCATCGCACCCGGATTTGCAAACAACACCCCGTTTTAGCCTGAATTCCACTAACCAACAACAGTAATCAGCTCTATAACCGTTGAGCGAACAGGTTCTGCGAGTTCTATGCTGGGTACATGGCCGTGTACTATCTGACAGATTGACTCCCGTGAGCCTATGACGTACGTGAAACAGTCCTTTTCAGAGACGGGTGTCTAGGTGGCAGTTCGTATAACACAAAGACTGACTTTCATGCGGATAATGTGATTCATTGGGACTTCTTCAGACAGAAGGGACGTCTCCCAACAATCCACAGTCAGTATGTAATTCACTTAAGTATACTCGGACAAGCCAGACATTCCCAAGTACTTCCATTGACATTATTTGTTGTTGGAGTTGGAACAGGAGAGTGACGCGACAGAAAGTTCCCATTATGGTTGAACGTCATTGACCGGTATTAATGAACTAAATAAAGGCGAGTGAAATTGAAATTCTACTTAGACGAAAAAATTGACACCAGGGGATGAGGCATAGTTTGTCTATCGCAGGCGATGAGGAGCATGAATGCCACGGATATGCCGCAGGATTGACTTACAAGTAAAGTGATTCGCAGTAAAGCGAACTAGCGACACTTCGGTTAATGTCCACAAAGTGACGGCACGGAGGTAAGTTAGGGTGGGCCAATGCTTGCTGAAGAGAGCTACCATTGCAGGCATTATCCGATGTCGCCTTTCCAACCACCCAAAAGAACAACTGTCACCGTTGAAGTGTACGCATTTTTGCCAGACAGATATGCAGACATATGTCACTTTAGTGGTTTGTGTGATACTCTTTGGCACAAAGGAATAGTCTATGGCATACTGAGGCTGTGAAACCACGAGGATCTCAGGGAGTGCTGGTAATTTAATAATTTGCCCGTTCTCTGGAGGTGAAATAAAGTACGCAGACTACTGCGTTATCTGTCTCACGGGCGTTGCTGTGAGGGCCGCTGCACTTTAGTTCAGCATGTCTGGAAATCATCCTGTGAATTCTTTATTTAGTTCTTAGAAAAGCCTGTATTGGCAGCCAGCCTACTGTGTCAGCGTCGGTAGGTTCCATATTTTGCAGTATGCTGGTCAGGTAACTTAGCCTAAATGTGAAAAAGTCAAGGCTCTCTGTCGGGAACGTGTTTTAACAACTGCGTATTCAGTTAAATTATCCACAATATGGCGCCGTCTTGAATTCTGTAATTGCTAGCAGCAACTAACTGCCGTTTGTCTACTTCGTTGCAACGTTTATAGCCCTTAACCATGTGTCCCTATGGCAAATGCTGAAGCCAGATGATGTGCTAACAGATGTCACTGCTATGGTCAGGGCCGGCTATCGCCTCATCATTGCGCGTTCTATTTCACAATGATCTCCCTTCCGACAATCCAAATAAAGACGAAAGCAAGGGAAAAAGTTGACATGAGGGAATGACCCATAGCTTGTTCATCGTAAACAATGAGGGCCACGTTGTCCCGGTTATGACGGAGGAGGTACATGGGCGTAGATTAACTTGTAGAACCGTGAACTAGTCATATACCTGCCTGACCCCTCTTACAACACCCCCGCCGTTTGATGCCGAAAAAAAGGGCCAAGACGACCGGAGATGTGTGCGAGCGCTGAGATTTAATTAGTAAAACAGCCTGTCTACGCACGCCGTGCACAACCTGTTCCGCAACCCTGCGCACTCAAGCTTCCGTAAAGAAGTCTCGGAACTCACAAAATCCTGAATGCCATTAGAACAGGGCCGACCTGACTCTCTTTCTCTCTCCCCTCCCTCATGCATCAACATCCAGCTCGAGGCGTTGGACCGACGGGTGACGAGAAAGGGCACACTGGTTGGCGTGGCGTGACTTGATCCAACTTGTGCGCTGCAGACATATAAGGCAAGAGTGAAGGACGCCCACAGACTCAGAGCAGCGTGACAAAAGAGTGGTATTACCGACAAAGACAATGGAGACAGGAATGGCCATTACTGGCTTACTAGCCGTCGCCAGCCAGTCATACCCGACTACGAAGTGTGGAACACCTAAAGCTCGAATTTGCTACCTGTTAATCAGAAGCCCAACGCCTCTAACCGCTGAGCCGCGGGCCTGTTGTCTTGTCGGTTGCGATCGGGAATATGCAGTGGTAGAGGGGCTCTTACCGGCTGCTCGTTGGGTTCGAGAGAAAGCCCTAAGCCACAACGTGACGAGTGAGTTTCATAGAAACGATCTGTGAGCGCCGCTCTACCATGACAAAAGTGTGCCATGACACGGTGTCGGCGTCATCTTTGTCCAACACAACAGCGGCATGACCCGTATGAAGGATACATCAGAAAAAAAATGGACGAAGAACGACTAATAGGAGAAGAAGATGGCGGAGGAGGAGGAGGAGGAGGAGGAGGAGGAGGTGAATAAAGAATAAAGGGACGTCTGACGTTCTGTCGACCTCTACCATGAGATACGAAGGCACACAACGTTAAACCAAAGTTGTCTGAGTGTCTTAGGAAGAAGCAGGTATTTGGAGTAAACTATTAAAATGATTATAAACTGCGGGGTATTGCTCGGAAACTGATAGTCTAACAGTCATCAGGTGAAGGCCGGGCCTCGGGAGCTCCAGCGGTGAGTTCACGTGACAGAAGTAGTAGGTCTTTCACTTTCTTGCAGGCGTAGACTACGCCTAGCGTCCATTTGCTGGCACCCAACTCTCACATATGGCTCCTCGAAGCTAGGCTCTGCCTAGCGGTCACACCCTGGTAACTGCCTCGGCCGGCGAGCTAAACCATGTGAGGGTATCCGTTTGTGCGTCCTCGCGCACGGCGATCGAAGTTGGCCTGATGGATCACCTCATCGGCATCGCCGAGACGAGGCTCTGTCGGGAACATCGTAGGAGGCCACAAGGTAAGTGAACGTTGCTCTGCTGCCTTTGCCTCGCTTGTTCTTGTTTTCCTGCTATCGTGTCTGTCTTTGATAAAATCCAACTGCCGTTCTGTGAATCTCCTCTGTTGCCTTTGCTTTTGTTATTCTTATCTGCTTGCGTTTTGTCTGCTTGTTCGTGTCTGTCCCGAATATAAGCTAAATGCCCTTCTGCTGGATTTTTATGCTCACTGCTTCTATGTCAGCAACTATTTTGGTCGAGAGAGGACGGGAAAGCTCTGCATCCCGTCTCTCTACCCTTGCCCTTCAGCTTACGCGATGTCATAGGCAGTCCGGGGCTAACTCGGGTCGCTCTCCAACTAAACAAAGACGTGGCCCATAGTGGTGTTCGGCAGCCGCCTGACACATCTGAGCGACCCTATATAGGGATAGTACTGCTCGCCCAAGCGAGGGGGACGGAGCTAGAAAAGATTCCCTAAACAAATGCTGGGATCACCTCCTCCGCGCCCTGACCGAGGCCCGCAAACGCGAAACACACGGTAGAAATAACCAAGAAAGAAACCACACACGCTCTCTTCGCCCACCCTCCTCCCCGACGCCCCACTCGCAAGACTGGTGGGGTTAGTCCGCTCACTCTGGCAGCCTGGAATATTCATTCCCTTTTAAACAATCCGAAAAATACCCGACGGCGATAGTGGTTCAGAAACTGGCGCGTTACAAGGTGGACATCGCTGCACTCAAAGAGACCTGGTTCTCCGAACAAGGCCAACTGGAGGAGATGGGTGCCGGTTACACCTTCTTCGGGAGTGTTCGCTCCTAGGCAAAGCAACGGGACACGAGAGTCGCCTTTGCCATCCGGAATGACGTCGTGGGTCGACTGCCCTGTCTGCGCAGGACATCAACAGTCGCCTGGTGAGCCTGCGCCTGCCCCTTCGGGGAGGCAAATTCGCCACTATCATCAGCGCCTACGTTCCGCCGATGACCAGCCCTAGTAAGGCGAGGAACAAATTCTACGAGGAGCTGCACGCCCTCCTAGCGACTGTGCCGAAGGTGGACACGTTGATTGTCCTCGGTGACTTCAAGCCCCCGTGTCGGCACAGACCATGCTGCCTGGACAGAAATGCTGGGACCCCTTGACCTCAACGGCTCCAGTGACAATGGTCTGTTTCTCCTACGAACCTGCGCAGAGCAACGGCTCATTCTGACGAACACCTTCTTTCGCCTTCCAATACGAGAGATGGTCACCTGGATGCATCCTCGATCGCGTCAGCGGCACCTGCTGGATTATGTCCTCGTCCGCAAGTGAGATCAGCGGGACGTGCTGGTGAAAGAGGCGATTCCGGGTGCTGACGGGCGGACCGACCATCTCCTCATCATCTCGAAGATGCGTATTCGCCTACAGCCTCACAGGAGACTTCAAGGGAAGCGCTTCCCAGGCAAGCTGCATATTTCTCTGTTGTCTTTGCCCGCTAACGAGCGATCTCAACGACTAGCCAAACTTCCAGTCGCCACCGCCGCCGCCGCCACCGAGGAGAACGCCTCCGTGGTGAACCGATGGTGCCAACTGCAGGACACAGTCCAGTCGACAGCCCTGGTTGTCCTCTGTCACGCAGGTAACCAACATTAGGAATGGCTTAGTGAAAAAGACGTTGCCATCAGCAACCTACTCGCCGATAAGAATCATCTGCACAAAACCTGCGTAAACCGCGCCGCCGGCGACAAAAAAGCAGATTTCCACCGTAGTCGTCGCCTCGTTCAACAGCGGCCGCGCGAGACGCGGGACGCCTGGGCGGCTCGCAAGGCCGAGGAGATCCAAGGATAGACGGACCGTAACGATTTGAAGAACTTATTCGCCGCGATCAAGGCTGTCTATGGCCCCACAACAAAAGCAACTGCTCCTCTTCTCAGCGCCAACGGCAGTACCCTACTCACTGAGATGACACAAATTTTACAGCCATGGGCCGAGGTCTTCAGAGGCGTCCTCAACCGTCCAACCACCATCGCCCGTCTGCCTCAAATGGACACCAATGTCGACCTTGACCTCCCGCCCTCTCTCTGCGAAAACATCAGGGCCGTGCAACAGATCTCTAGCAGGAAAGCGTCCGGATCAGACGCGAGCCCTGCTGAAATCTACAAGCACGGTGGCTCGCACCTCATGGATCATCTGATTAAGCTCCTCCAAGAGATGTGGCGTCAAGGGAAAGTCCTTTAGTATTTCAAGGACGCCCCAATCGTGCACCTTTATGGGCGAAAAAATAACTGCCAAATCTGCGACAACCACCAAGACATTTCGCTGCTGAACATCGCCAGGAACATCTTCGCTCGCATTCTTCTCAACCGCCTGAACAACCACCTGGAGCAAGGTCTCCTGCCCGAAAGCCAGTGCGGCTTCCGTCGTCATCGTGAGACCACGGATACGAGCTTCGCCGCCCGTCAACTGCAGGAGAAGTGTCAGGAGATACGAACCCACCTGTACTCTACCTTCGTGGATCTGACGAAAGCCTTCGATACGGTGAATCATGAAGGACTGTGGAAAATCATACAGAAATTCGGCTGTCTCGAATGATCCAATCAGATGGTGCGTCAGCTCCACGAGGGTGTGATGGCACGAGTCACGGGCAATGGAGCTGTCTTGGAGGCATTCGCGGTGACCCACAGAGTGAAGTAGAGCTGCATCCTCGTGCCTACCATCTTCAGTCTCACGTTTTCTGCAATGCTGATGGACGCCTACCGTGAAAAACGCCCCGGGATTCTCATCGCCTACAGAACGGACGGTCAACTGCCCAACCACCGGAGGATGCACTTCCAATCGCGTGTTTGTACAACCACCGTCCAAAAACTTCTCTTCGCCGATGACTGCGCCCTCAATTCAACTAATCAAGGAGACGTGCAAAGGAGCATGGATCTTTTCTCCACCGCCTGCGAGAACTTTGGCCTGTTGATCAACACGGAGAAGACGGTAGTCATGCGCCAATCGCCACTAAACACTGCCCATATCGCGCCGCAAATCACCGTGAACGGTACCCAACTGCAAGTGGTGGACAACTTCACCTATCTGGACTGCACCCTCTTCCGCAGCACCAAAATCGAAGATGAAGTGGGCCGCCGGATTCTCAAGGCCAGTTAAGCCTTCGGCGGTCTTCAAAACACAGTTATGAATGGTCACAGTCTTCAAATCAGCACGAGACTGAAGATCTACAAGGCCGTCATCCTAACAATGTTGATGTATAGAGCAGAGACTCGGATGGTGTACATGAAGCAGGCACGTAGACTCAACCACTTCCACCTCAGTTGGCTTCGTCCGATACTGGAACTGAGGTGACAGGACTGGATGCCCCACCCGGATGTGCTGGAGCAGACAGGAATTCTCCGCATGCACGCCGTGCTGAGATAACTACAACTATGCGGGATCGGCCGTCTCGTACGGTTGGACGAAAAAAAGCTGTGCTGAGGTACCGGATCAATTTATCTTGACAATTTAGTCCCGTTTTCTTTGCCCGGATTTCGTGTTTGAATTTGACGAAAAACGACACCCCTGTACAACCCTCCTTATTGGCCTGCGTTGCTGTCGCGCTCTGTCGTCAGGTTACTTAACATTCAAAATCTCTATATTATTCACTGCTCAGTTTTACTTGCTTCCTTTAAGGCTAGGGTCTCGTGAGATATAACTCGTTAGTTCGTGAGAACATTACCATCCTCGTCAAGGCTACCCAAACGACTCATCTACGGAGATGTCGCAACGAGCTCAAGCCGACGAGGAGGTCAAATCCGGTGATGAAAGGATATTCTGAAAACTCCCCTGAAGCGTCTGCAGATCAATCCGGCAAACTGCGAAGACCTCGACCAGGACCGACCTACGTTAAGATGAACAGTAAAGACAGGCGTAGCAATCTTCGAAGCCAGCCGCATCATGGGCTCCAAAGCCAAACCCGAGACACGCAAATCTCAACTGCTGCCTCCGCCGCAGCCGTCGCCTTCGCCTCGCAACGCCAACGCCCAACCACCTCCAACGTGTCCATGATGTCAACGGAAATTCCGGGGGCCAATTGGACTTGTGGGACACATTCGGACCAACTGCAGCACCCGGACTGCACCAACCATCGTCTCTCCGTCCATCGCAATTAACGTTGATTGCCCTCCCAATCCACCACTACCATCCCCCTCCTCCTCCTCCCCCTCCTCCACCGCCTTGGTGTCTGCAATGCCTGCAAACACCACACACACCAACATCACCCCCCACCGGCTATCCCAGCGATGTGGACTCCGTCCATTCCTGTCCTCACTACGACCGCACCTTCACCTCACACATTGACCTGGTCGGTCAATTGGGAATCCATTGCACAGAGACTGGCGAACCAGTTCCTGAAGCACCAGCCCACACCCGCCACATCCGCCTCCACTGCCCACATTGCACCCGCACATTTATTCGCGCATGGGCCTATTAGGTCACATGCACGTCCACGAAAGCCTGCGGTAGACGACCGCCGGCTGCACACACCATCACACCCTCCCCCACCAGCATCTCACCGCACATCGACATCACCCACCGCAAGCAACCAGTTGCCACCTCCCACGCAATTGAGAAGCGTGCTTCTCGGCCGCTTCACCATGCGGCTCCCTTGCTGCATGTGTGATCGGAGTCTGAGACTGCAACGGTCCGTAAAGCGCCGTGGCTCGGAAAGCAGGTGACTGACGCCTCAGCTCAGTTCAAGCAGTTTGCCCAGTTGCGTGTGTATGTGTAGACTGGCGGGCTGGTGGGCTGAGAGTCCGGCTGTCACGGCCCCTTTTCAAGCGATTTTGACATTCTCATTTATGTAAGGGAGTGGGTGTGCTACATGGGTAGAGCCTCTCGGTCGACGACTCAGTCGAAGACTGTTTGGTTACTCAAGCGTGACGATCCAGGCTAAATGCAGAACCACGTGTCGCCCTTCTGTGTCAAAAAATCTGAAAGCGTGTGCTATGCCAGTATCAGAAAACCATGGCCCTCGCAATATGGGATGCGCTGGCAGTTCCCTGAGACCTGGTTCCCAGCCGGTAGATGAGTTTGCGTTGTCAATGGTGATGGGCATGGCTGCCTAGTCATAATCCTCGTTCTTCTGACCCCCGTTAGGCTGTTGTCATTGTGGGTGGAAAATCCTGGTCAAGTGTATGCTGTGGATCAGAGGGTGTGGTGTCACGCCTAGGTGCGGGTCCGGTCATGCCAGCCACCTGTGCTCTTGCCCGCCTACGGTCTACTTGACTCTGTCTTGAAACCGGGTCCAGATGGGTAGTGGTCTGCTGAAGGTGCACAAAACGAACATACCTCTTAGATCTATCGTCTCCCTACGTTGTACTCTTACATACGGTTTGGCAAAATGAATGTTTACTCGTCTTAAGTTCCTGGCAAAGGGATCGCCAACAACAGTGTCGTCTCTCCTGATGGCCCACAGGCCGCGGGAAGTGCTTTCCAAGGTCGAACGTGATGCGCTTAGAGGACTCAAGGCCGACAAAGACCTGGTCATCGTGCCAGCGGACAAAGGACGCGCCACAGTTGTACTGGACAGG